TTTTGAAAAAGTGGCATTTTTGTAAAAATTTCAAAAGTGTGGCATTTTTGTAAAGTGGCACTTGAAAAGTGGTATTTTTTGAAATTTCTCATATTTGAATAGTAAAATAAGATTAAAAGTAAAAAAATTACCAAATTTAAATAGGACTAAAAAAACTAATAATTTCAAAAGATGTAGTAAAATTTAATTGTAAATCAAATAACAAAAACATAAAAATTAATAAATAAATGATATTCTTCTAGATCAATGGTTTTTGCATAACATTCTTACTTTGATTTTATTTATGTTAACGGATGATCTAATTTTGTTAACCACAATTAAAAATATTTTATTTTCTATATATTTATAAAAAAATTAAATCACAAGCCCGCATATATGCGGTCCTTCATCTTGTGTTTACATATACTTGGTGTATGTCACCATGTATTACATAATAGTCTGTGTAGTTCATGACACATTTATATACTTGGGATGATTTGAAACATATTAGTCAATATTTGGTGTAGCTAAGAATGATTTTTCTTTTTTCTAAAAAGAAAAAGATTTTTAAAATATACATATTATTATAATTTTTTTTTACTTTTTTTTTCGCAAAGCGAAGAACTAGGAGCAAAGATCACACCGTTGGATCGACATATGTTTTGGACCAATTCCGATGGACATATGTTCGGGACCAATCCCAACCTACCCGATGAAGGAGATTTAAATGTCCCGAATTCCTCATATAAACAAACGCCCAGAGTTCGCAAAGAGTTTCTGTTCATTTCTGTATATATAAGTTATATGACTTAACTTAAGTAACATCGCAGCATTATATGACAAAAAAGGTGTAACATCAAAGCAGCGTAACCCTCAAGATCTTAAATAAATAAATAAAATAACCATGGCCTCAAGGTAAGATACATTCATTTAAAAGTTTAGTACACAATTTTTTTGTTTTTATAAAATTTAAAATGATTGCAAAAGAAGCTTATCTGTTAACTTACAAAAGCCCATTCCAGTAAACCAACAAAATTAGCCCATAGAGTAACCCATGATTAGGGAATTAGGGAATCGATTGAGAAGACGATCACAATTCTGGATGAACAGGTTTAGAAAGGGTTTTGTATTTTGGGATTCCCTAATTAATCCAGACATAGTTTGTAATCGAAAAGACATGTTGCAACCATAATTTTGTTTTTGTTCTAATTTCCTTTGATAAAACAAACTAATAAGGTTCTCACACAATCCTACTTCGTCTGGATTAGGCATTCCTAATTTCCTAGTAAGTTTCGACTTTTCTCTTTGTCTTTCTCTCTATTTAAACATGTATTGTCTAACTAGATTATGGTTTTTTGTTTTGTTTTTAAATATCTCTAATTCGTTTGCTTGTTACTCAAGAAACCATATATCTATGGCTGATCAACAAACGAACATGGATCTTTTCAACGAAGGTCTTGTGAAATTCTTTAAAGAAGAATGGCATCCTGATGTACGGTTTTTGGCAGGCGATGATGATCAAAAAGATCCTATCTCTGCTCACAAAATTATCATGGTATATAAATTTTAATTATTTTTATTGTTTCTCTCGTAAACTTTTCCAATTATATAAAAACGCCTCCAAATTTAAATGTCCAGTTTATCCAAAATTTTCTTGCTAACTGGTTTAATGATATATTATAAGGCAGCAAGATCAGATTATCTCAAGGAGTTGTG